ACCTGAATACACTCGCGGAGGTAACCGGCGGAGATCATCCGCTCGGCGATGTTGCGGAGATCGACGACGGCATCGGAGGGGATGAGATCGAGCTCACGGATGCTGCTGGTGGACCTGTAGCTGCAAGTGTTCGACGAATCGCCACGCTGAAGCAGCTCGTCGGCGTCGCTGACGGAGGCGGAGGAGGCCTTGGGAGTGGTCAAACCGGAGTCGTCGTCGGGAGAGTAATCCTCGAACTCGGAGGTCGAATCAGCGGCGGAGGAGTGAGTGGACGAGCTCGGATCGGCGGAGGTGAGTGAGTCAGGCTCGATGGGAGAGGTGTGGTTGAGGAGGATGTTGCGGAACTCGTCCTCGAGCCTCGCCATGGCGATCTGGATGGCGGAGTTGAGCTTGGCCTGGTCGTCGTCGGAGACGAGGGAGGCGGAAGACATGGAGCGTTGGATTTCATCGACGGCCTGCAAGTAGCGATCGACTTCGTCGCGGTGGCCTTCGAATATCATTCGTTCCCTGGCTTCTTCAGAGGCCGTTGAGTCCCACAGGAGAATAATCCTCTCCGCCGCGTCGAGCTCTGTAGGCGAAGGCGGAGTTGGAGCTTCCATGAAACGCTGCGTTTTGAGCTGCTGCTGCTGGTGGCGATAGTTGAAAATTGGGGGAAAAAAAGATTGGAAGTTCAGGAAGTAGACGATGGTCTTCGAAAGGCAGCTGTGGGAAAAAAAAAATTGTTGCTCTGGAGCTTTTGTCAATTGTGGTGGTAATAGCGACCGTAGCGTCAGTCGTTGAGAGACACTGTGGAAATGGAAAATTGGGAAAATGGAAGAAGGTAAAATTGCAAGAAAGACTTAATTTTTGACAGTTTTGACTCCCTTTTGCTACTCAAACACGACTTGTACAATACACGAGGGCTCGTATGCCGCCGCTGTATTTTGTGGTTACAACTGAATCTTTCTTGTACGGAAATTGAAACTTTTCAACTAACAAGGAGTCGAGCACTGTTCATTTTTGCGCATCGGTAGTTTTACGTTCGAACTTCAAAACATTTTAATAGTGTATGGGTCTTATGATGTTAGGGTATGTTTATGAATAATTCTAAAATAAGTACAAACTTTTCATAGCGTTGAGCAGAAAAACTTGTAAGTGTTTCGAGGTCACATAAGCCCTCTCAAGAATCACTTTCAAGTACTTTTCTACGAATAATTTTCAAGTGCTTTTTCAATAAGCACTTCAATTTTCAATACAAATTTTCACATTGTTCTTATGATAGAATAGAAACACTTCTAAAAAAGCGCTTCTAAATAGAAGTATTAGATATGTAACTAGTTTGAAATGAGTCATTATGTTACACCTCCACTTAAAGTTACGCAAAATCAACTTAATGTCACACAGGGCCATAGATAGTCCGACTTAATCACCTCAAATTTATAATAATAAAGTACAACACCCATGACGCAACTTACAAGTGGTGCAATACATAAAATGGGTCGTATCGTATTTGTATTATAAAAGTGGTGCAATACAAGGATAATTAAGATGGGATAAGTAGGAGTTTTATTCTAATTTTGTGATAATCTTGTTGAGGTTGGTAATGCCAACAACCAACATGAACAAACATGACAAGGCTATGCTAAGACGTCACCCAAAAAAGGACAAAGAGTGAGAGAATGCGGAAGGAAGGGAGATATGTGTGTGTCTATATTAGACTTGATTGGGTTGAATTTTGACCGTTCCATTCAAACCATCGAACCGGAATTACTACTACTACTACTACTACTCTCTTCTTCAACATGTTGACGGCGTGTCGGATTGGCTCACCCTTTTAGCACAATATTTTGGGTTTACTCCTCTTCTCTTTAGTTTTGATCATTTTTGTGACAGGATGTCACCAAAAAATAAACATCTACGGCATTGCTTTGCTTTATGGTCACATCAAATTTCATATGGGCTTCTCACGTATTTGACAACCCATGGTCATACTTCAATTATCTCTTCAAGTATACTGTATATCCAAGGAAATTAGTGTACGCAAAAATTTCGTGTCAATCTTTCTTGTTACGTGGCAAGTTGAGTAACTGACCTCCTCACATAAGATTTTTCATTTATCGTAACATTTTTCCTATGATCAAAATTATGGAAGAAATGATAGATTTAACTAGATTCATTATGTAATATGGCGGGAAAATCCCGGCCCATAGTTTTTCTCTGAAAACATTACCAGATGAGCCATAGTTACTTTCCAAAAATTTGAGTTACTCAAATGAGTTTTGTATCTATATTGCCACAGTGATGGGCCAAACTAACTCAATGAGGCTTGTTGCACACAGATGGAAGCCCAAAGGCCTAGTTAAGTATTGACATTTGGCTCTCCTTCTGCAGTCATTAATTTTAATTAATCCTTTATCATGAAAGCAGAAATCTGTGCAATGCCAGCGAAACAAGAGCATGATTTGCTGGCTCTCTGGCTAAGCTTTCTGTCTATAATTAATATACTAATTAGCCTTAATCATAATTATTATTATTATTGGCCACATACAAGGGCAAACTTAAACTAATCACGAAATTAAATGATGAAATTAATGAAGTCAACTAATCTACTGCCAAAATAGGCCGACATTCACGTGCATGCATGCTTGCTTGCACGTACACACGCACTATACATTTACATTATTAGGTTTTTTAGGTTTTAGACATAAAAAAAATTTCACTTTTGGAAAAAGCCAAAGCTTTTTCAAAAAAGACAAAAAAACCACTCAACTTTCAAATCAATGACATACAAATGTATTGGATTTCTTAGGAAATCTAAAAATAAATAAGGGCATTTTTGTCCATTTTTGCTTCTTTTAAAATTTTTCTCTATCCTTTTGCTTTTTCCAAAATGTCCCCATTATTAGTTTGGTAAGAACAATCTAGAAGGGAGAGAGAGAAAACTGTTTGAATTTCAGAGTTGCACGAGTGTTGCAGGCTGCGTTTAAGGAGAAGCAAATTATTTTTCGTGCTCATTTATTGCTCGTATGTTTTGTTGCCCTATGTTGTTCTAGTACTGTGAAAAGTTCCCATGGTTGATGGTAGGAGGGGCAAGTTTTTAACATTTGAGGCCTCTGTTTTGTTTTTAACATTTGAGGCCTATGTTGCAAAAAGACATGGAATTAGCACTCTTTTTTCTTTTCTGTTTTTGCATACAAACGATGGTCTAAACTAGAGATAATTGAGATTTCTCACACAAACACAATTATGATACCGTGGGGATTCGAAATTGATGGATGATAAACTCGGAGAGATAAGTTTCATGTGACACCATTTAACCGACGCCTACAAGGCTACCCTACGCTGTAGCCTGTAGCCCATGTTTAAATAAAAACAAAATTAAACCTATATAGCCCATCAACTTGTTGTTCTCACTTGGGTTGGGGCCCTCGTTTTGTGGTTTTTTTGGCAATTTCCCCACTGAATAGGGATTTTTTTTTTTCAAAGTCTATTTTGTGATCTTCTTGGTGGTTTCCCCATTGTTCGTACATTAACCCTTTTGTTGCATTTAATATGTATTTGTTATATGCTAAACTTATTGAAAATTAGCTATGAACTATAATTATATGATTTAATGTATACTTTTATTTCTAGAAAAAAAAAATATATAGAAATTGAAAGTTAAAAAATATCATTAGATTTTAAGCTAAAAAATTTAGCTAGCCCACCCTTCGATCGAACAATTCCTAGTTCCACCATTGACTCGACGGGACGAGGATATAATGACATACCCGACTCCACCCGGCCCTTTGTCATTATCTTCACCCTTCTTTCAAGTTAGACCCAAGCCGCTTAGGAGCATAAGAAGTACTATTGGTCCCAATGAATACGCTTTCTTAAGATTTGTGTCATGCAATTAAAAAAAACTTGCATGTCACGGCAATAACATTGTTTTACTATCTTCATCCAATCATGCTCCGCTATGTGAAATCTTTATTACATATGACAAAATGTAATTAGTTGGATATAGCAAAACAATATTATCATGTTATTTACACGTTTCTCAACATGCAATAGCTCAGTTATGATCTTACAATTGTCTGATGACAACTTTCTTTATTATAAAGGGGAATTCTAGCAATCTTCTTCTTAACCATCTCTCTAACCTTCTCTCTTTTCCTTATGTCATGTGTTACTTTCTTTACGCTTAAAACAATATCATTAATACATAGCTTTTGTATCGATTAACTATGTTATTTATTAGTAGAACCTGGGATTATAATGAATATAGAGTGACAAATTACGATCTTGGTTCAATGAATTATCATCGGTAAATGCAAAGTAGAGTACAAAATAATTATTAACGTACAGCTTCCAAATTTTAAATGGGGCTTTCGGTGCAAAATAGTTGGCCATTGTTCTGTTCTGCGCCCGATTTCTTTTGCTCTATCACAAATTGGCAATTTATCCCTTTATAATATACATATCTCCACCTGTATGACGTTTTTTCTCTTCTTTTTTTGGGTGGTTGTTTTCCAGCTGTATGTAAGAGAAGGGTTGATAGCTGAAATAAACAAGCTGTGGCCCCGTGAAAGTGAAACAGTATGAATCTAACTTGAAATTGGCAAACTATAATTGTATGAATCTAACTTGAAATTAGCTACTAATTTTGTAGAAGTGGAAGTTTCTTTAGCTTAGTATCAAGTCATTTGACACGGTTAATTATACACGTTGAAATAAGATCAACTAATATTTAATGTGAGCTATGATTCTCAATCTGGTTGAGACGTCATCAATTTTAAAGCTGATTATAAAACAGAATGAAAAGCATGAGAAGGGTTCCTAAAACAATAAAATGGAAGAGTTTTATCATAGAATTTTGCAGAATAGGGAACACTTATATTTAGTTAAGTATATATAATTTTTCAAACGCAATAGCTAATAAAATCGCATTGCAAGCTTACAAATCATATTTTGGTCTATCTTCAAGCAAATTTATCTATTGTTTTTTACAAGTAAAGCAACATTTGCTCAAGCAGAAGTTGAATGTGTTAATGTTTGTATATTTATACTTTTAACACATGCATTGCTGTATATCTTCCTTCTGTCTTTTCTTTTCTATCTTGCCCAAGACTTGTACAATAATGCCCCAGAAAAACCATTGTGGAGGTCTCTCTGACTTTGACTCTGACTCTGACTCACTTCCTTGAAGCTCAAGTTTTCTTTTGAGGTCACACCATCTATCATTTTGCCTTTGTCTAACATAACTCGATCGCTAATTAAGATATGGAAAAGGCAGCGTCATTGTCTCCATCAAGGCGCCCTGATCTATTTCCGATGGCGTTTGATTCGAGCCTCGTCTCCCCGGGGAGCTCTCCAACCCCTTCTCTCAAAGTTGGAGCATGCCTTGTGTGTGGCACAGAGTCACTTCCCAAACCTTGTACCTGCTCTATCCTTGTAACAGCCTCCCTCATATCTAATCGTTGATTTGGATTGCTCTCAGTACAGGCTGCCCCAATGTGTAAGAGCTTCTCCATGTCACCAAGTGAACCCTTCGTGCTCGAAATTTCGGGGTCTAACAATTCGGATTCTCTCCCTTCAGAGATCGCTGATCGAACCCATTGGATCACATCAAGCCCTCCTTTCCCATTGTTGAGGTATTGAGAAGGGAATTTTCCTGTCAGGATTTCAAGAATTATGATCCCTAGACAATACACATCACATTTGGGAGAGACTCGGCCATGTTCTGCAGCTTCTGGGGCTTTGTACGCAAATAGCGCTTGTGATATATTTGCAGTGTTGATCAAAGGCCCAAATGCAAAGTCTGAGAGCAATGGCTCATAGTCAGGGCCAAGTAGTATGTTGCTTGATTTGAGATTGCCATGGGGCACATCACAGGATGCAAATTCTGTGTGAATATAAGCCAGCCCTTTTGCTGTGCCTTGAATAATCTTTAGCCTGGCAGGCCAATCAAGTTCATCATGGGACTGTCCCCGATCACCTACAAAATCAGCAAGTTTAGAGTTCGATTTCCTTCCAATGTAACGAGAAAAAAACAAACAGAAAGGTTAAATTAATTTCATACCATGTAATATATAAAGCAAACTACTCTTGGGAATGTACTCATAGATCAAGAGCTTCTCATCTTTCCTGTAGTGGTATGCCAAAGGTGTCAAGATGTTCCAATGGCGTAGACTTCCAAACCTTCTCATCTCTGCATCAAACCCATCTTTTCCCATGCCATTCATCTCCCGCATTCTCTTCACCACTACCGCGAACCCGTTCGCCATGACCGCCTTGTAAGATGACCCCAAGCCCCCATTTCCAAGCACTTCAGCGGCGGCCTTCATCAAATCTGGCAGCCCAAAAACACCTTTCTCCTCATTCAACATCACAAGCTCCGCCATTCCTCCGCCTCCCTTGCCATTGTTGGACCCCTTTCTCGAGCTGTTTCCCGTCCTTTTCGAGCTTGAGGGGCGGTCCACCACCACTTCCTTTTGTTTTATCTCCGACACATTCAGCTCAACCGAGTCCGGATGATCCGCTTTCTCTATGTTCTCTTTCCCGGGCATGTCGAAATCTTCCTCCTCCCCCTTCCGCCTCGACTTCACGAAAAACAGGACGATGAGAGCAACCAGCACCACCGCCGAAGCTACTGACACTGCCACAACAACTTTGGAGTTTCCCCCGTTGCCTTTTGAATTCGAACCATTTCCACCATTGTTGTTGTTGTTGTTGTTGTTGTTGTTGTTGTTGTCATTAAAGGTTGTTGATGCTGCAGGTGGAGGCTCTGGCTTTGCACATTCCTTGCCCAAGTTCCCTCCACAGAGGCCAGCATTCCCAGCAAACGACGACGCTTCGAATTTCGACATGCTGGCAGGAACTTCCCCCTCCAATTTGTTGTTGGACATGTTGAGCGACACCAACGTTGATTGATTGATCACCGGAATGCTCCCACTAAATCCATTGTCTTCGAGGTGCAGCTCGAGAAGATTGGGAATCGTGCCCAACGAAGAGGGGATGTTGCCAGTGAATTTGTTATTAGAAAGCCACAGCTTCCTCAGAGACTCCATCTTGACAAAAAAATTGGACGGAATCTCCCCTGTAAATTGGTTGCCCGACAAGTAAAGACCCTTCACAGGACCCAAGGTGTTGAACTCGGGCATTGGCCCCGAAAAATTATTGTTCGCGAAACTCATGGTGCGAAGGCCCTTGATTTCAGCGAGGACCTTCGTGTCAATTTCCCCGGCTAAACCCATTCCCCCGAGACGAAGCCCTATGACGATGCCATCGGCGCAAATAAGTCCTGCCCATTGTGTGTTTCGGGCACAGGGCGCAGTGTCGGGGGTCCAAGAATTGAGTGCCTCCGCATTTTTAAAGGATTCTTTGAGCTTGAGCAAGGCTTCGGGTTCGGCTAGCGAGTATGCTATACAAGGGAGGACAAAGAAAATGATGGAGGAGAAGAGGAGGTGGTGCGGCCGGTGATAGAAAACCCGGGTTGCGGCCATTATTTTTTAGTCGGAAAAAGTTTTTTTGGTTGTGTGCTGCATCGTAGTTGGGGTGTGCAAAAATTTTGGGGGTGATTGTTTTTTGTGTTTTTTTGGTGGGTGAGAGGAAGAGAGCCTCAGAAATCAGAGAGGCCTAAAGAGCCTCAGAATGAGAGGGAGGCCTAAAGGACTTGGTGAACACCCTTTCTTTCTTTGAACAAGTCAAGCCAGGTTCAAAAAACCGTTATAACCGTTATCTTTTTCATTGAACATTATGGACTTTGCTTACCTGGGTTTCCAGCTGCAATCACATTGTAAATAAATTCTATTCTAGGGCCAGAGTCACCACAAAATTGATATTTCTTATAATAATAAAAAATTATGTTACTAAATATTGTGGTAAAATGTTTTTTTTTTTTTTCTGCCAAAATTAGAAAGGGGAAAGAGGGAAAAGTCACACACACAGGTACCGTAGGGGTTTGAATCAATGACCACCTCGGAACACACCAAAGACCTGAGTCAATCCAACTAACACCCTAATAGTATACGGTGGTAAAATGTTGGTTTGTGTTTTCTTTATGGAAATTAGAAAGCCTTGGTGGGTTGTGTTGGTTTTACTTTATGGAAGATGGAGTAGCAAACTGAAGAAAAAGAATAACTTGTATAAGTTTTTTTTTCGGAGTTTACAGAGTTTTAAATGATATGCATTCATGCTTAGAGGAAAGCCAAATAGATCCAACTGCCAAGCATGAAAAATCTTAGCAGAGGATCCTTTTCCGTGGGAGAGAGAAACTCCTCACTTGAGGAGAGACACAGGAAGGTTTTGGTGCATACAATTTTTGGTGTTATCTTTCAAACATATTTACTTAACAAAGGTTAGTAGTGGGCTCACTGCGAATAACCCAACTTTGAGATGGTGTTTAAATAAAAATTGGGTTGGACCACAAAAATGGCAAATTTGGGTTGGATTTTGATTTTAATGAAGCCTGGTTTTGTACTGTTTATTTGCTTTGCCCAACAGCTACTTCAATTTCAATGTATTGATTCTAAGCCCATCAAGATCTGCATATAATTTGCTGGCCCCATTGAATTTTGTTTTTGTTTTTTGTTTTGGGTCTATTATTTTAGAGAAAAGGGTTAGAGTCGAAGTATCCTGTTTGTAGCTTATAGACTAGAACTAGAAGTACGACTTTTTCTCCCTGCACCACAAAAGAATTGATCATTTTTGTCCCTAGTCTACCATAAATCCAGGAGACTTTATCTATCATGTGCTATGGTTGAGGACTTGAGCTTTTATTTATTTTTGGCTAGAAAGACTTGACTAATTGAGTCTAAGTAAAATAAGTAAAACAAAGGAGGCTATGACTTTTTCTTCTACCCTAATTAGTAAAAAAGGGCTTGGTTTTTAGCAAAATTGGCTAAAATGGACCATGTTCACAACACTTATTTCGTAATAGACACCTGCACAACTCTAGAATTCATTTAACTTACACCAACAAAGAAGAAGCATAAAGGCGAACATGAGCAAGAGCAAGGAGAGAGAACATCTTCACAACAAAATGGAACACCTCACAACACTTCTTCGCATAAGAATTGGAGCAAAGAGAGAGCACAAGAGCACCCAATTCCATTTTATAGAAATTAAGACATTGTTAATAAAGGGAGTTGAATTTCCCACTACCTTTGTTGGAAATTGTACATTCACACTCATCTTTTGTCCACTTAGAGCATCTCCAGTAGACCATCTATCCCCTCATCTCTAGCTACTTTGGCTAAAAAGAAGGAAAATCCTTCTTCCAGCAGACTCCATATTTGACTCTCTATTTTAAAGAACCAACTTTTGGCTCTCTACATCTAGAGAGAATGAGATAATTTGGCTAGGAGGAGAGAGATAGAGACATTTAGGAGGTTGATGGGGTTAGGTTTCTACTTTTGTTTTTAATATATTTGATTTGCAAGAGGGAGAAAGAGAAAGAAAATAATAAAAAATATATTTCAGATTAGCCAAAATAAAGAACATTGTTGGAGGAAATCCCTTTTAAGTGGTTTGCTATAATAGTCTTTTAGCTATTTTAGCTAGAATTTGGTTAAATTTTGAAAACTCTCCTGGAGGTGCTATTCACTCAATTTTTTGATATAGTAAAAAAGTATTACAAAACAAAAAGGAGTGTAAGAGAATGTCTACCTATTTGCCATGGTAAAAGGTAATGGGAGACAATGGTTGTTACTATTCACATGAATAGTGTCTTTCCTTGCAATTTTTTTTGTTGGTTTTTCACCCATTGTCATGACAACCCAAGGGCAACCACTATTCACATGAAATATAAAGATAGAAATTTGTATGGTGTGAGAAGTAAAGAATATGACTAGTTATTTATTTTTTTAAAATTCTGGTTTTTTTCCTTTTTTATCTTTTTTCAATTTTTTGTTATTTAAATTAGCTGCTAACATCACAATGACATCAGCATTAGGTCAGTTTGCCCAGGCAAGTCTTGTCTTTAGGCTTGCCCAGGTTGGTGGAGCCTAGCTCTTGTCCTGGCAAGACTTGGGAGTTGGAAACATGAATGGGGGCTTGAAGGGCCTTTTGCCTAAGCAAGGGCCTCCTGCTGGAAATGCTCTAAGGCCCCGTTTGGTTCTTGGAAAAGGAGGCTTGGGATGAGAAATCAATTACTTTCTCATATTTGGTAAGTTCATACATAAAAAATGGTTGTCTGGCATATGGGAAAGTAAGGGGAAAGTGAAGCCCTCCTCATAACTTGCATTTTGTTTTTCCTCATCATTGGAAAGTTTGGGAAAATGAGTCAACATTCAATGCACATTTTTCATGACCATTTTGTCCTTATTAACAATTTAGAATTACAATATATCATTAGATGCACTCTTTTTTTATTTGATTTAATGTGGTTATAATTGAAAAATTATACAAATTTTGTTTTCTATTCATACTCAAAACAAATATGGAAAGGAAATAAAGTGAAATTTCCCGGTTACTTTCCCGGCATTACTAAACGTGGGAAATAAATATTCCATTTCCCATTTCTTAGGAAATGACATGGAAAGTGATTTCCCTTCAAATCCGTTATGTGAACCAAACAGGACCTAAGTGGACAAAAGAGGGGTAAGAAAATCATCACCCTAAATAAGTAGTCACTACTCTTGCACTACTGCTATGTGTTAGGTATCTAAAGGAGGGGCATCCAAAAAAATATGAGATAAAGCTTTGTGGAAATGTCTATTACGGAATAAGGGTTGTAAAGATGGTCCATTGTGGACTATGTAATTTTGCCTAGACAAATATACATTGTTAATTATTTCTTACTTGATTAGAACAAAAAAAAAAATGAAAATGAAAATGAAGTGCAAGTTCAAAAATTAAGTATAAAGAAAAAAAAATTAATATGAAAAAAAAATTAATGTAGGATAAGAGTAGAATAGGAAAGAAAAAGAACAAAATTAATTAAAAAAATATTGAAAAACAAGAGGTAATGTAAGTGGAGAAAATAAAAGTAGGGAAATCAGCTCCCTATACGACATACGATATACGAAATACTAGTGGTGCATGCATAGTTTGATTTGTCCTGTCACTCGGCGTTTTCAGACTTCTCTGATGTGATGGGAAACGTTTTTAAAATTCTTCGGTGCCAAGAAGACTTTGAACATTTCAGAGCAAATTTAGCATAGTACGCACAGCCAACCAACCAATTCAATTCAATGATAATTATTATACGTAATAGAAATACAAGTACACATATGGATCATGTGCCCTATCTTTTTTCTTTATTTGACCAATGTTTTGAAAGATTCCATCCAAATTGCTCTGCCCTACCACCACCACAAAACCCCAATCAATTTTCAAACATTTTCTTGACTTGTTTGGCAACCTTTATGTTGATGGGTGACCCGACCTTCCCATTAAAGCTAACACGTTTTGAATATGACTGCTGCTACTTCGTCAATTCTCTCTCTTGGTCAACTAAAAAAATATATTTTGTAGAGATGCTTTTAATAAATTTAAAAAAATTAAAAGAGGTGCATTTCTATTGGAGCACAGTGCCATTTCAAATACAGAAAAACTTGTTTGAAACGGAAATAACACTATTTTGCTATTTTAGACCAATCACAGACAGATATATGTGATATACACTGATTGATCGGGATATCAAAACAACGTTATTTCCTTTTCATGTAAGGATTTCTCCATTGAGACTAAACATGTGGAAACTTCCCACCAAGCAGAGGTTTTTTATATTTTGTGGCATTATTAATTAATGGCTTTATTTAGTTGGTCTGAATTGTCAATGTTATATAGTATGTGTACAAACAATAAGAGTGGGTGAGTAACAAACCGCGTGGGAGATTTCAAATCGCATTCTTTAATATGCATGAGTGAATAAATAAGGTGAGTTTTAAATCATGCTTCGGATTAAAAATAGAAAGATAAAACCATTGGGCACCTTTTAACTTATAAAAGACTGAAGATTAAAGACCAAAACAATAGCTTTTGATTTTTCAAACATCACTTGGTGTTGAAATTCATTTGGAAGTGCTTCTCTCGAAAATACAAAAATACTTTATTTAACGTGAGAAGCACTTTAACTTGTTTTGTCAAATATTGTCAGAATCATTTTTGATTATTTAAAATAGTTACCAAACATACCCTTAATTCCGGTCACATATCATTTTAAAAAAACTAATGCAAGTGGGGGTGGGGGTGTTGGTTTGGGATGCTAGTGGCAGTTGTATTGCAGCTAGAGTATTACGTTTCAATCATGTAATCTCAATGTAACATGCATAAGTATTAGCTAGGGAAATTCACGATGCAATGTAGATTTCTATTCAAAGTGATTCAAGCACTGCAATGATGTCAGGAGCTCAATTCCGGGCACATCTGATTTGGAAAAGATTATTGATTATGCTCGGGATAGTTTTCTTCAATTTCATGATTCTTCGATAACTCATGTTTTTCAATAAACTAATATGGTTGTTCATTGTCTTGCCCCCGTTATGATATATCATTAGATTGTTATATGTTAAATTAGTTTGATAAAGTCTCCCGATATCGTATGTATATGATGATTTTCTTAAAAAAAGTTGTAATTCTTTATTACAACATGCAAATATCGCTTCTTTCTCAAAAGTAACATAACATCTCATTAGTTCATCACTATACAAAACTA